TAATGACTTCGGGGTATGTTTGCCATATTAAAGCAGTCATGAAAATTAGATCTGATATTCTTTGATACAAATGGAACAAATGCTGTGTTCCAGTTGCACACATTAGTAAGAGCCAGATGGCTTAAAAGCGTAATTTATACTGCTTACCAATTTTAAACGAGACAGTGATAGGATTTTGTTTTATGCTTTTTGGTAGATTTCTAGTTTGCTTTCAAGAATATTGCATATCTGCAAATGGCTGTGCGCCAAGGTTAAAACCTATCCCTACTAAAGTGCAGAGTATCAGAGGCAGTTCTGTATTGTATTTAGTGTCTGATAAAGGTACTTGTGGCACACTGGTTAAACAGCAGCACTGCAGTGAAGACTGTGCTCACAGTCTGAGTTTGCTCCCAATGGGCTCAGGTAGCTGGCTTAAGGTTGATTCCGCCTCCCATCCTTCCATCCAGCTTGTTGTGGGGAGGGCAATGTGCAGCCTGCATCATTGAATTGCAAAGCACCCAGAGCATGTTTTAACCACTATGGGACGATATATAAGCAGCCCACTTCGCTTTTTTACTTTCGATGAGAATTAAATACATTCTGAACATTTTGTCAAATCTGTCACCCACCTCATCTTTTATCAGCTCATAAGCCTTTCTGTGACTCATAAATCCAGAGTGGCTGGTGAAGATTATCTGGAAATATTGCTGTATTGTTATTATTAATCCATTGTTTTAATATTATTCTGCTGGCCTACAAGAACAACAACAAAAAAAGATAAAACCACCAAAAATACTAAAACAGTCACACAGTGAAAATAACTTTAAAAGCCAAGTTGAAGAGATGCATTCTAACACAGTGGGGGCCAGTGGTAATTTTAGACGGATTGCACACAAAAGTTTGGGAGCAATACGGAAGAAAGGTCTGTCCTATGTATCTGGAAAAGGACTTTCCCCATATAAATCGGATGATGACATCACCAGCCGCAGACATTTGCCAGTAATGAAAAATTTCCTGTGGATCCATTTGGTCCTGAGGAAGCCTCTGGGGAAAGGAGGATGGGAGCTCTTAAACATGTGAAAATTGCCACTGTCAACCCCAGCTGCTGTGATATAACCAGCAGTAGATGGGGTTTTGTTTGGACATTTAATATTTCCTTTTCCACACACCCTATATCCAAAGGCTTCCCTTTTAGGACCAAAGGGGTCCTATAAGATTCTAGGAAGCTGGGGGCGCTGTTAGACTAGGAAACATTTTATTACCATAATACTGTCATATCTGATGATGCCATTTCATGGAACTTTACATTACTGGATTTCAGATGCTGTGTTGTATAAAATAATTTTTTTCTGGTGGAAAAAAAAGGTTATTGCAGTGTTACCGTCCTTGCTTTTTTCTTCTCCCATTCAATCACAGCCTGAGTTACATTCTCGCAATCCCTTCTGTGTACCAGGAAAGCACTTAATTCTTTGTCCCAGTTTGCAGTCTGCATGAGGCAAATGGATTATCTGAATCATCAATCACAAACACAGCCATCAAAATTTGATGAACCATTGTAAAACTTCCGGGTGTGGATTGAGCAGCTCTCTGCCAAATTGTATTTTTTACTTGCAATGATCTGTTCAACACATCCTGCTTGATGTGTACCTTTCAGTTTAGAGTGAAAATTGATATAGCCAACCGCATCAGGTGATCAAAGAAACCAGCAGGTTGGAGCCCTCCTATACTTCCTTTGCTTAGGAACAAGAAGCTGCCTTATATGCTCAAACTATTGGTCCATCCATCCCAGCATTGTCAACTCTGACTGACTCTGGAAGTTCAGAGAAAATTCTTAACTAGCCATACCTGGATTTCAAGATGGTCTCCCGTTGAATTATTATCTGGACAACATCATGCTGGTCTTCTGAAATCAGGAAAGATCAAATATGTTCACTGATACAATCCTTTATGAATTCTGAGCTCATGAGATCTAGATGTGAAGAGAGTCTTAGTAGACTGTAGTAGCCACCCTAACCTGCTTTATGAGCAGGGCTTGAAAAATTTTAGAATGTCTCACCAGTCAGTCAAAAATTTCACCAGTCAGCATGACCGGGCTATAGCCTTCCAATTTATTGTTTTGGGAATCACTGATTTATACCCTCAGACGTGGATTGTTTTATTACCTGCGTGCATGTAGGGTCATGAAGCCTTTCTTTTAAATGTTTCCAGCAAAAATAAAACTGAAAGGAAAAGCACCCAGCCTCTTAAGCAGCCACAGTTCCCTCCCACCCCAGGATGTATCCTCATTTGGTTGAAATTGAGAGCAGGGAATCTCCAGCATGGGATTACTCTACATTTTCCTGCAGAGCTGTATCTCTATGTGCCACTTAAACTCTCTTCTTGTGAGAAGAGGGCAGTTTTCCTTTTGCAATGTGAAGGGGGAGGGGAAGACTGCAGGATTAGAGAGAGAGAGAGACAGTTGGAAGGGAAGGAGGTAGGCAGGGAGGGACCTGTGACTTGTCCAGCAGCATTTTTCATTCATCACAGACGAGTGAAAATAGGACTTGAAAAATGTACTCATCCACTCATCACAGACAAGTGGACGAGTGCATTTTTCAAGCCCTGTTTATGAGTTTCCTTTACTTTCCTTTTTTGGGGTAGGGGTAGGGGTTCATTTGTTCCTGTAAAGAACTTGGTCTTAGAAATAATTGAGACAGAGCTTCCCTGACTTATTTGCAGAAGCCTAAAATGATCATCTTTGATTTTTTTTCTTACACAAATTTTCACATAGCTGAAATATTGTACTGTCCTCCCTGGATTTCTAGGTACTTAACTGATATAATTTCCATTTGAACAGCTTTCCTGGACTCTTGATTCTTTATCACTGATTGTACTGTGCATGTGGCACCTGAGTCAAATGCACTTTTTTCAATTTATCTTTCATCAAGCTTTGATGAATAGTGCTTTTGATGGTTGCTGTTTTGACTACACTCCCTTCACCTGCATTTCATTATTCCCAGCAACTGTGTTATTGGAATTTGCCAGCCTTTGCAGACTCTGGGTAGTTATCATCAGTAAACCTTAAATCAAAATTGGAAAATGAGATGTTTGCCATCTAATTCAGTAGACTCGTATCAAAACAAAGGAATCCTTTTGGTTGTAATATCGATAACCGTACCACTCCTGCCTCTGTGGATGTTGTTAATGTTTGTGTTTCCTATATAAAGTGATGGTAGTTGATATGTTAAATTCTTGTAAGACTTCTTGTGATCGAAATCATGCATATATTGCTAATGATGATTCATCCAATGAATAAGCATATTTCCAGAAAGACTGTATTTCTGTTAACAGTGACTTTATTTGTGGCACCTCACAAAACCTAGCATAAATCAATATATTCATCCCTTTCAGTCCACAGATAAGAGGTTTTCAATTTTACTTCTTGATTTGTATTGCATCCTTGTATAAATTGTGGAGCTACCCACTGTCTAGAACCAATATTTAGCAGGGTATCCTAAATAGACCAGAAGGGGTGGGCAAAGGGTATCCCTGGAGCTGCATGTAGTCCCCCCAACACTGTTTTTACAGTCCCTATAATCCTAGACATCCCAACCCACAGATTCCCCTCAAAAATTATCCAGGGTGTGGGAGAGGGTGTGTGTGAATTCATTCTTTTGGAAGCCTCCCAAAGCAGTAATGCACCATTTAAACTTACAGCTACTTTCAGTTTTGTGTCCATCCTGCTCCTCCCATTTGAGGGCAATTTGGGAAGTCACTGTGGTCCCTAGAAGACTGCAAGAGCAAAAAATTAGCCCCCCCCCACCTCCATAGTTGCCCACCCTCATCTATAGCCAAATCTTCTCTCTGTTACAAGTCAGAGAAAAGGTGAGTGTCTATTCCCCACCCACAAATTCTAAAATATTCCCATCGTTCTAAAACATGTTTTTGGACCATTTTATATTCTGTGATTTTAAAGCCACAAAATCATTTTTACTGGATGTTTGCTGTTTATTTATCTAGTGTTCACCCTTATTATGTTAAGTAGTCATGCATATTCATTTTGCAGGCTAATGTTGCTAAGAGGCAGAGACGAGAGATATGTAATAAAGAGGTAGAGTCAGAGTCAGAGTGAGTCAGAGTGGAGTGGAGAGATAGAGTGTGGTATTTGGGATATCTGAGGTGTGATTAGAGTGAAGAGTGAATAAGAATTGTTATAACCAAGAGAAGGTTGAGACTGATGATAAATAAACCTGTAGAAGTTACCTATGATTAATAATCAAACATCTGTAATCAATAAACAAGTTTTCTTTAAAAAGACAGTGAAGTGTGGACCTTCATCGTCATCCTTCCATAAGTGATCAACTGGTGACAGTGGGTGAAAAGGAGTATTAGTTTGCCTTCGTGTGCTCTGTGTTTCGGGAGTCAGGCAGGGGCCACGAGGAGCAAACGTCACAATTTATTTGTACTATTGAAGTTTGTTTTAAATTTCCAGAAATTTTCCAGAATTCTTAAATTAAAGAATTAGATTAGATTTGTTATGCTGGGCTATACATGGACCAATGTCAGCAGTGTAAGAAATAACAATAATTCTCCAAATTTCTGTACGGTAATCATTCCTACTTCATGGTTGCCCAATGTGTTAGTTATTCCTCAGGCTTGAAGAATAAAGTTTGTGAGCTATTCCACTATATTTTACTTTAGAATAAGAAACTTTTAAAAAGAAATTCTTGTAGTTAAAAGGTGTTAATATTTGATTAATATTTTTTAAATTGTCTGTTTGTAGATTGAAGCAGCCATCAATGCCTCAGCTGAAGTTATTTGTTCTGTATTAATAACCTTCTTCAGAATTGATCAGGACATGTTTACAGAAATGCAGGTTTTCTGATCCCAAGTATATTGGTGGTGTTCACATAATAATCCAGGTTTGCTTTGATTGCCTACAAGATGGTATTCATTTCTTAACTTCATTTCCTAGAGAACAGTAAATTATTGGAAAATATAATAATAATCGTATAGAATTGTGTTTTTCTTTTTGTTTACAGGAACAGTTATGACACCAAATTATTTAAACTATAACAGTCTCAGCGTCGCTCCATGGTGTGATTGCAGCAACAGCGGAAATGACTTAGAAGAATGTCTAAAATTTCTGAATTTCTTCCAGGATAATATATGCCTTAGTAAGTCTAATATTCATGTTTATATAATACTTCTAAAGCTTTGGTGATAAGGGGAAGCTTTCAGGTTTGATTTATTCTGTGTTATTTTGGGCGTTTCCTCAGTCATTTTTGAGTCTTCCAGCTACTGGTCCTTTCACTTTCTGTATAGCACCCATTCAAAAGTCATAAATGTGTTAAATACTGCAAAAAAAGAAAAAGGAAGGGCAAGGCAAGCAACAGATAATCAGTTCAAAAGCCTTTAAAAGCCCCTAAAAATAATCAAAAAGCAAGGGCAAGGTGGGCAATCTACTCTAAATTAATAAAATAACGATTTTTTTAAAAAATAATAATAACAGGGACAACAAGATACACAGACACAAATACACACACGAAAGGAATGGGGAAAAACCACCACTGCCCCCTCTCCCAAACCAAGAGAAGCAGGAAAGCAAATAAAGACAACAATACAGTCAAAGCCCCCACTGCTGTCACAAATTGACTAGAGCATGGGAAAATTTCTCTCTTCCTTACAATTAATGTCTTATCTGCTCATGCTTGAATCCATCATCAGCATACAGCAGCAGAAAGCAAAAATAAGAGAAGGAAAGGAGAGGAAGAGGAAAATCCCAAAGAAATTGGGAGATAGGGAAATCAGACAAATAATCCCGGAGACATTCTGGTACCACAGGCAGACTGACTGGTGGCAGTGGCAACAAACATGTTACTAGAAATTGGGGTTGCAGGTGGAATTGTCAAAAAATCCAGAAGGAAAAGCGGGGGGGAGATCTATAGGCACAGATACTCAAGATGGAGGCCACCAGAGGACTCTGTAGCACAGAGATTCTATTTGCAAGGAAAGACTGAAGGAAAGAACATTCTTCATGGAGTTCAACCAATCCAGGCCATTCTAAAATTCAAAATTCCCTCCCCCTCCCAGTAGACGTTCTGATTGGCTGTTGAGAGCAGCCCTCAGAAAGCTATTTAATTCAGTCTTTCCCATGTGATTGGACAGACAAGAGGGAAAAAGAGCAAATGAAAGAGAGAAACACAAAGGAATCTGAAGGTGTTTTGACCCTTTTTCTGTTTAAACAGAATTCAGACTTCACAGAATCTCTTTTGGAAACTAACAAAAGAGTCTGAAAACGGAAGGAAAAGGCCATTTTTAAAGTGTTTCTTCTTTTAGTGTTACCATCCCTGTCTGCTGATATAATAAAATACGGTAAGCTATAACTGCAGAATTTGTCTTGTTTATATCATCAGGATTCTAAGATTGCTTTCTAATAATTTTTATTCTAAGGTGCCAGAACACCTTACACCAAAATTCTATAGTGTTTTTTTGGACACGAATCATTAGTTATCATGAGTGATTTCCTGTTTGGTATTTCTCTGTGGACTCTCTGAATTCCACCAGTCATATTGAACTGCTCTGGTGCTTTTTGGATAACTTCTTAGATATACTTTGTATTAGAGATGCGTGCTTTGTATTCATATTTGAAGCGTGGCAGCACAGCTGCACCACAGTCCAGTCCCACCCCCCCAGAACCAGCTCAGTTCATTTACCAAGTTCCTTGCCGCACGTGCGTGTCCAGCGGCAGCAACATCATGCTAATTGCAGGTGTAGTCCCATCAGCACTTCCCCGCCTCTCCCTACAGCAGACCGCTCCATCTGCAATGGTAGAAGTTCTCTCTAACTTCCTGCCTCTAACCTAGGAAGTTATCTATATAAACATCATGACTAGTAACCCTTGACTTCTAGTCTAGTCTCCTTTTGAAGCCATATGAGCTAGTTGTCATTACCACACTAATAATTCTCAAGGAATCCCATAATATAATATAAACCAGAATCAAAGAACATGAGAGACACTGCAGACTAAAACAACCAGAAAAATCTGCAATAGCTGAACATGCCCTGAAACAAACTGGACATGAAATTCTATTTCAAAATACTGAAATACTGGACAACACCAGCAATCATTACGTCAGACTGCACAGGGAAGCCATTGAAATCCACGAGCACAAGCACAGTTTCAACAAAAAAGAGGAAAGTATGAAGCTCAACAAAACTTGGCTCCCAAGCTATCAAACATACTACGTGCGAAAGGTCAACGAACTCTACCCACCCACAAGGACAGGGGATCACTACACACAAAAGACCAGCTAATGACACCCATCAACCACAGGAACAGATAATCTCTTCCCCTTAGCACAACAATACACCCACAACAATACACACTAATAACCCATCTACAGGAAAAGACAAAAGCCTATCTCACAGCCATAAATACTGCACTCCCAAGCCAACTACACCAGAGTACAGGTTGCTGTCCTTGGAAGATGCCGGCCACAGAGCCTGGCGAAACGTTAGGAAGAACAACCTTCAGAACACGGCCAAAGAGCCCGAAAAACCCAGAACAACCATTAGATCCCGGCCGTGAAAGTCTTCGCGAATATAATAATGTGTTGTTTGAACACATACTTCTCTCTGTCAGAATTTCCTACTAGTCAATGTCAGTCAGCAGTAGCATGGTGAGGGCATGGGAGTGGGTTACTTTCTACATAAACAACTTGATTGCCCCTGCAAATTGCAGAGGCTTGTTGCAACATGGAATCCAGCCACATAGATTTATTTTTAATTATGATGTTTCCCACATTATTTAGGTAACATATGTATAAGACTATAATTAAATGAAATCTTTGGTTTCCAGTGATTGGAAACATATAACTGTACTAAGAATAACCATACAAACTACCTAGGGTTTATCCCAGCATGGGTTGGTTAACAAGTTATAAAGATTTAACCACACATCATTTTCAGGTGTGTGGTGGCATTGCAGAACAGCTGTAAGGACTCAGAGACATCTTTTACATACAATGTTTGGAGTACCATGTTGCATAATAACCTACAGTATAAATGGATGCCATTTGCCTTTTCCATAGGTAATGTTTGATAGTTTTGGAATGTGATGCTAAGCAATAGTGTACTATAATGGAAGTGAGCCTCTCCTCCTCTGGCATAACTACCAGAGGGTGACTGGAAGTTTTCACTTATATTTTACATTAATTATAATTCACTGTTACATGCAAACCAAGAAAAACTGTACTGAAACAGATTGTAAAAATAGTTAACTTAGAAAATAAGCTGACTTATGATCCTGGCTTGTTGCCCTAAACAGAAATATGGAGGAACTGTGCTCTCTGAAAAGCTGTTAGACTCCATCACCCATCAGCCCTAGCCTGTCCACTGTCACCAGGCATGAAAGTAGTTGGAGTTTCTGGGGAGGTACAGGTTTCCCAAGTCTGATCTGAAACCGTAGTTAAAGACTAACCATAATGTCAGTTTTGTATATAAACCAAAGCAAAGTGTGCTGTTTATATACCACCCCATTAACAGATACAGTTTATCACAGAAGTGAGTACACACCCTTACATTTTATAAATATTTTAGTACAGTCAACCCTCAACTTCCAAACATCCCTAGATACAAACTTTCCGATTTACGAATGGCTCTGTTGGCAAAAATTGGCATCGACTTGTGAACAGAGCTCGACCTACAAACAAGGTTGAGGCTCCGTTCGCAAGTCAGTGCCATTTTTTGCCAACAGAGCCGTTCGTAAAGGGCTCCCTGCAAAAAGGCAGGGAGAAAGGGCTGGAAATTCAAATTTGCCGCCCTTTCTCCCTCCCTTTTTGCCTTATGAGCTCTCAAAGCGCAGGAGTGCAGCTGGCACTGGGGAGCTAAAGTTCTTTGAGGGAACCATGAATGCCAACATGTACTGTGACATACTGAAGCAGAGCATGATCCCCTCCCTTCAGAGACTGGGTTGCAGGGCAGTATTCCAACACAGTAATGACCCCAAACACACCTCCAAAACAACCACTGCCTTGGTAAAGAAGCTGAGGGTAAAGGTGATGGAGTGGCCAAGCATGTTTCCAGACCTAAACCCTATTGAGCATCTGTGGGGCATCCTGAAACAGAAGGTGGAGGTGTGCAAGGTCTCTAACATCCACCAACTCTGTGATGTCTTCATGGAGGAGTGGAAGAGGACTCCAGTGGCAACCTGTGAAGCTCTGGTGAACTCTATGCCCAAGAGGGTTAAGGCAGTGGTGGCAAATAATGACGGCCCCACAAAATATTGACACTTGTATCCAATTTGGACATTGTCACTTAGGGGTGTACTCACTTTTGTTACCAGCAGTTTAGACATTTATGGCTATGTGTTGCATTATTTTGAGGGGCCAGCACATTTACACTGTTAAACAAGCTGTATACTCACTGCTTTACATTGTAGCCAAGTGTCATTTCTTGTCACATGAAAAGATATACTAAAATGTTTATGGAATGTGAGCGGGTGTACTCACTTCTGTGATATACTGTAGCTGAGAATGAAGAAATGTTCCAATTTTATGACAACATTATCAAGCAGGAGATTGAGAAGCACATAAACCCAATAAGAAATGTAATTCAAAGCAATAATTTAGCCTGGGTTCACACCCAGCCATTATTTCTAGGTAGGAAAAAATAATTTATGGAGGATCTGAGAAGTGGCCTTGAGTTGAACATTTTGGATCTTCCTTAAATGTGAAAAAGTAATAAACTGTTAAGATTGTTATATTGGCTTGGAAGCATGCCTCTGGAATACTTGGCATACTCTTGTTTCTTAACAAGGAAAGACTGTAAACTTTTTGAGGACTGTCAGGGTTTCCTCTGTCCTGTCAAAGCCTGTACATATCCTTGATGTTTTAATAATCTTCTAATGTGTTCATTTGAAAATGTGGTCATTTCTGTACCATTATATGCTCTGTTTTAAAAGAAACACCCCATTTCCACTGTGGTCTCTTTTGCTGTTGGAGTAAAATTTAATGAAGATAAAGCAATGACATTAGAGGACACTGTGAGGAAAAATTACACTCGACCCTGCCTGAGAGACCTTTTCTTCATGAAGAAATTAAAGGTGTCCCTGCTTTAATAGCATTTCACTGAAGGGGGAATAAATGTTTCATTATTCTTTTTGTTAATGGATTGGCTTATGTAAACCTTTATTTTAAATTTCAAAATACTAATGATGTGTAACATACACAATGGCTGAAATCCAGTAGAAAGTCACTACTAAAGTAGGACCATTGAATCATTGGGATTTGGTGAGTCAACATCTGTGTAAGTTCTGTTAATGCAATAGGCTTACTCTTGTTGTGACATACTGCTGGATTTCAGCCAAAGTCTTAAGAGGTGGACTTTTAAAGGTGACCTAGATTTTTGTTTGGTACTCAACATCTATTCCACAGACCATGACTGATGCAGTAGTCTTCATCCCTGGTCCTCCCCCCCTTTTGGGGGGGGCTATCATAGTGCTTCATTGGATTGGGCTCATACTTCGCAAAAGTTCCTTTTGGAACTATAACTTCCACACGCCTTCAGCCACCCTCCATCCTGGGTGCTGTAATTCCCCCCCCCAAAAAAAGAATTTTCTGAGCTCTAATTACCCTTATGTCATTTTTTGCCCATTGGTTAAAGGATCCCCAGCCTATTTAAAGACAAGTCAGGGTGAAATTACACATTCAAAAGAATCACATAGCACAGTATTCCTGTGAATAGACTGCTTAAAATGTAATTGGAGACTTGTATGACTGACTTCTTAGTGCAGCTCAGTGCTCCCTGTAGGATAAAAGGTAGTGTCAAGAATAAGGATTCTGGTGTAGAATTCTCACGCATGCTACTTGCCTGTGTGCAGCTAGACTTTGTTATTCAGAGGTAAGGATGTGAATCGCACAGCTTCTTGCCTTCGGCAAGAAACTTAGAAAAAAATGCTCTCTTTTTTCACAGCAAGGTTTTTGTGTGCAAGGGTAGTTCCCCGCCCTCAGCCCTGAAAAATTTTGCAGACAATCTTGTGAAATCTCGGGGATTTTGTGGCCATTTCTTTCAGAAAAAAAATACCATTCAGTGCCAAATTATAACAATTCATGGGCAAAGTGGTATCTTCCCTGTGTGAGATATCCTAGAAAGGGCATTGAGCTTAGCAGTTTCATGTAGGCAAAAAACAAGCACCCAAAAAATAGGGGTATAATTTTTTTCATGAAACTAGGAAATCTTGGTGGTCCAAGAGGAAGTCTCATCGTGAGTCTTGCCGTGGTGGTAAGGCTCAGAAATTTCCCCGGAATGAGACAATTTTCAAATATCTTCTACATCCCTACTCAAGATACTCATTCGGACCTGCTTTCTGCCCCTCCCCTGCAGACCCACAAGGACTAAACTACCAAATTTTCAAAGTATCCACCAAGGAATTTGAACATAATACACTCCAGGCCCAAGATTTTATGTAGATAGCACTTTGAACAATGAGATGTCAGTTTATTTCATTCAGGGTAACTATTTGTCAGGTTTCTGGAATCATTCTTTAGTTTTCAGTAACGTGCTGCAGGGCATAAAGATCCGTACAGATTTTTCGTGCTTCTCCTCACATCATCCTGCCCATTTCTGAAGTCTATAAATCACTTCCTACATTTATTAGATTTTTAAAAAAAACTTAGACTAAAGTGCATGTCTCGAAGATAAGTAAAAGTGAAATAATTTATAGTAAGTGGTAGATGCTATTGAAGGAACGTATTAATAACTTCTACACTAAGGTCTCCAGTGAAATGGTTTGATTTCATATACAATGAGTTTGAAATAAGAAATCCCTAAATCCATGCTGAGTCCCCAAAGAGCTGATTAAAAACTGTTTTCTATTCATTTGTGTCTGTTTTTTTAAAAAACAACCAATTTATTCTTGCCATGAACACAGTATTTAATCCCATGAAAAACTAACGATTTCCCTTTCAACGTTTCCATTTTCAACTTCTACTATAAGCGTGCTTCTCCCACCTAATTATGCAGATTTTGTTTGAAGACTTGAAGGGAAAAAGAAAAAAGTATATAAAAGTACCTTCTGTTTACAAAACCAATTCTTATAAATAAATCAGTACCTGCTATTACTGTTTGTCTTACTAAATACCTTGTCTTGGAATGGTAAGTTGATAGAATACTTGCAAAATAGCTAAAAGGTGTATTCTCCTATTAATGTTCCTTACGGTGCGATTATTCCTGCCCTACCCTTATCTTGGTGGTCTACATTTCTGTGGATTAAAATTTATAAACAATTTTTCAGTAGTTTACAAAGCAGTAGTGCACTTAGAAAAAGTTAGACTCTGGATTCAAGGATCTTATTGAAAAGCAAGGAACTCTTTAGGTCAGGGGTCTCAAACATGCGGCCCGGGGGCCATTTGTGGCCCCCCAGATGATTGTGGCCCTTGCCTTGCCTGCCCCCCAAAGCGCCCACACATCCTCTGCTGTCAAGAGTAAAAAAAAAAGCCTTGCCTCGCCGCTGGCTCTCTCCCAAGACAGCTCCTCTTGCACCCTCCATCCAGAACTGCAGCCTGCCAGCCAGCCCACCTGTCTGTTGGCTAAGGAAACTCCTGGGCGGCTTCCTCGGGCTCTTGCTCCGCTTGGCGGAAAATCTGATGCGGCCCAGCCTCACCCAGACTCTGCCTCTAGCGGCCCCCAGGTAAATTGAGTTTAAAACCCCTGCTTTAGGTGATTATCTAGATTTCTGCTCCTGACCTCAAAATCTCACCTTGATGAATTTGCTTATCCTGCTAAAAGGGACCCTACGCATCTGACCACATTGGCATCACTCCTACAAATATGCAGCTTTTTGAAATTTCCATACTTTATGCCTTTGTTTGTTCTGATTATTTACATTGTTTACATGATCACGTGTCATTGTGCTTAAGAAGACAACTTCAGATTGAGTTTAAACCTTTTGTTTATTGCCAGAAAGATTTATAAAGTTAATAAATCTCTGATCAGAAATTAAAAGTTGTAAAGATAATTCCTTCTATCTCCCCTCCATTTTGCCTACAACTTTAGTATTTTGTTTGTCTGTCAGTTTTAAACAAGTTTCCCTTATTTGCTCATCTGCTGAATTTGCTCTGCGATATCCCCTCTAGAAAGTGCAATTCAGGCCTTTGGCAATGGTACAGATGTGAACGTGTGGCAGCCCTTCTTACCTGTCCAAACGACCACTGCTTTAACTACAACGGCATACAGATCGAAGACTCTAGGATCTGAGAACACCAACAATGAAATACCTACTAACAATGACTTACCAGCATGTGCCAATCTCAAGGTAAGAAACCCCTGAGAGTGTTGCAATGACAGCTGTTTGGAAGTGCAAAGTAGGAGAAAAAAACTGTCTGTCAGAGAAAGAATGTGCCGTTGTTTGATGCGGATGCAGATTAACCAGACAGGCTTATATTTATCTGTCTCCTACTACCTTCAATATGTTGTTGGAGGGTTACATCCAAACATTACATTAAACCAGTCACTCATAATTTTAAGATTTTGAAGTACTGGAATCAATAATAGGTTGCAGTGCTATAATAATGTGGTAGCAGCTTTTGCCACTGATTCTTGAACTTTAACAAGTTTGACTAAATGCTTGATACCTCTAAGACCTGAAAAGATGCAGTTGTGCTGGTTCATCTTTTTCTCAAGCCAGATTGCAAGTGGATGATAACTTAAATCAGCTATGACCAAAGAATAGAGTGTGGTTTCTTGGCAGACCATTGCAGACGTCTTGCAGACCACCTAATAATGGCTGCTTTGTAAGGTTCTTCCTGAGACTGGTGTCCTTAACTGGTGAAGCACTTAAGTGTTGATAAGTAAGAATGCACACAAAGGAACACTTAACACAGATGTCTTATTATCAAGAGAGCCTCAGCATGTACTTTTATATATCTTAAACACATCAGGGAAACATTTAGAAAACCAGAAGAAGGAATATGTACCAAGGATAAAGCCAGCCCCTTTGGGAGCAAAATATATGTGTACCTTATGGCCTAACTAGGCAACACAAGCAAACATTCAACACCAGCACACTGAACTCATTGAAAATGGACTCAGATTGCAACAAAACTCAGCTGTATCTCAGAATCAGATTACTAGTACTGTTCCTAATCACCTCAGCTAGTTATTAATCTTCCCATACTTATCTGATCGCAGTTTCTATGATGAGGGTGTTGGCCCTTCCTGCTTGGCATCTTGAGCACAAAATGTTAGTACAGTGGTGCCTCGCTTTACGATCGCTCCATTTAACGACGAAACCACATTACAACGAACTTTTTGCGATCACTTTACAATGTTTTCTATGGGGGAATTTCACTTTGCAATGATCGGTTCCCTACTTTGGGAACCGATTCTTCGCAAAACGATGATTTTCAGACAGCTGATGAGTGGTTTCAAAATGGCCTCCGGGTAAACAAAATGGCCCCCCGCTGTTTTCTGGGACAGATTCCTCGCTGCACAGGCAGCGAAAATGGCCGCCCTATGGAGGATCTTTGCTGGACAGTGAGTTTCCAGCCCATCAGAATGCATTAAATGGGTTTTAATGCGTTTCTATGGGCTTTTTAATTTCGCTTTACGACATTTTTGTTCTATAGCAATTTCACTGGAACAAATTAATGTCGTAACGCGAGTCACCACTGTATTCCAAATGCAGAGAGAAAGTGTGTGTGTCAGTATGCATGTTCATGTGGGGGGGGGTAAGACGTAGACGCTAGACTTTCCTGAGTGTTTGAATCCTTCATAGAAATGTCAGGAGTCTTGGAGATGAGATGGCTCAGGATGGGTTGTTTCTGGAACGCTGCCATGAGTCAGCACCACATATGCAAGGTATTCTAGATCAGGGTGGTGAATCGTTGACACTCCAGATGTTTTGGACTACAACCCCCAGAATCATTAGCCTGTTTTGCCAGTGATAAAGAACTGAAGAGATGTGATTCACCACATCTGGAATGTGAAAATGTGTGCAGTGTTCCAAGTACTTAGCTTTCATACTAATGACACAGGGACCCTGAAGGAGATTCATTTATGTAATCCCTTGTATTTCAGTGATAGACACCAAGATATGTTGGTGTGAGGAGGGAAAGAGTATTGTGGCATTGGGAGACAGGGAGATTTATGAGATGTTCCTCATAATACTCCTGATTAGAGGTACAAAGGGATTCACAAACAGCACTCTGTCAGGAGGTTATTCGCCTATCCCTCTTTCTGAATGTACGGCATCACCCTTTTGGTATCGACATAGGCATTGTCCTTCTTCCTATCTCCAGAGCACTACATGGGTTTGTTGCCTTTATCCCTGTATTCTTATATCATCTCATATTGCTACCCATGATTGCCTCTGCTTTCTGAAATTCCTGTCCTTTATTACATGACTTTGTCTTTTCTCCCTTATGGTCCCATTTATCTGGATCTCCTCCTTTCTGGAGGACCTGTGTAATCCTATCATCTCTTATTTTCTTCAAATCATATCTTAAAATCCATAATTTCTGTGAAGCTTTTAGGTGCTCTGTACTGTAACAACCTGTAGCCAAGTCCAGGTAAATGTAACTGAAACAAGCACACTATGTTTGTTCCATATTTAGCCCTGCCTCTCCTTACTTTCCTTTTCTCTGTATTTTCACCTTTGCAGCATTTCACTCTCCTTACTTTCCTTTTCTCTGTATTTTGCAGCATTTCAGGGCATCAGTCTTCTGTATTGCACTCTGTAAAGCTCCATATATATTGACTGCACTGTACAAAATCATAATAGTAAGCATATTAAAGACCTCCTTTGTCCTTTAGTGATTTGGTCTGGCTACCCTTGGAGGCATTTGTGCCATCAACTTAGCCTAGACCAAAAAAAAGAAAAAGAATTACATTACGAAAAACAATTGATTTTTTATTGCTGCAAGTTATTACTTTGAATATGGAAGTGAGGGAATTACTTTCTTGGGGTGAAACAAGCCTGCAGATAGACCACATGAAAAGATCTCTTACATTCTGAGGGGAAAGCAGCAGAAAGAATTCCGGATAGCGCAAGTGCCAGCCTGCTGACCGCATTATGTCAGATAATGTTGGAAACTCAGAGGATAGACGTAAATCCCCCCTAATAAGAAGCATTTAGCTAATTTTCTAAATGTTTAATATAATTTATTCTAAAAAGATTTAGTAGCTGCTCTACATTCCAGAAGTATCTTTTGCTGCAGAGCAACAAGCATTTGAGAATGTTAGCCATGTCAAGTCACACATACAAAGGATTTTTCTCAGGATCCGACATATTTAAGTGCCTCTCTGGGGAGTAAGGAGGAACAACAGTACCAGTGGGCTCTTTAAATTTAGCTTACAGGTATTCACCATCTTACCCTTCACTGGTCCAACCCCACTCACTCCCTACAATCCATGCCACATCTCCAGGACCTATTTGAACATGAGGTCCTTTATTTGACTCAAAAGTGTAACCAGAAATTATCAGGATAGGGCATAAGCAACACCTTTCAGAGTTAAATGGGGAGCAGGCATTCGGAGTGCTTCACTTCCTCTTTTGCCTTTCCCAGTTGAGAAAGATAGGGAAGCTAGCTCAAAAGGAGCTCAGCAGCTCAAGAAGCCACTTCTCAAGTCTGTATCACTTAATCAGGGCTTTACTGCACTGCATCCTCCCAGGCCAACCCAGGTATGGAGTTGATGACATCAGGGTGTGTGGCTTGATCTTTAACATCAGAGACATCTCAAGTCTGTATCACTTAATCAGGGCTTCACTGCACTGTATCCTCCCAGACCAACTCAGGCATGGAGTTGATGACATCATGGTGTGTGGCTTGATCTTTAACATCAAGAGCTTGTTGTTGTTAAGTCGTGTCCAACTCTTTGTGACCCCATGGACCAGAGCAAGAGACAGAGCTACACCCCCTTATGTCCTGTGGTGAAGAGCTGCCACGGTCAATAGGGCACAGGGAACTCCAATAAGCATTGCTCATCCCTGCTTTAACGCTGTCCTAAGGTAAAGGTTCCCCTTGACAATTTGTCCAGTCGTGTCCGAATCCAAGGGGTAGTGCTCGTCCCCGTTTCCAAGCCATAGAGCCAGCATTTGTCCATAGACAGCTTCCATGGTCACGTGGCCAGCGCGACTAGACACGGAATGCTGTTACCTTCCCACCGAGGTGGTACCTATTTATCTACTCGCATTTTTACATGCTTTCAAACTGCTAGGTTGGCAGGAGCTGGGACAAGCGACGGGAGCTCGCTCCATCGCATGGATTCGAACTGCTGATCTTGCAACCTTGCAGCCCAGCGGCTTTGCAGTTTAACCCACAGCACCACCACGTCCCTACAATGCTATCCTAGTTGTTTCCTAACCGCATTTCCATGAGTTACAAGAATGGCAATCTGATGCGGGCAGGAGCCTCTTATTATTATCTATAAAATCATCTTCTCCCCTTATGGCTGGCTCATTTAAATATTACCCATATAGGTGCTGTTGGTAAAAAATAAAGGCTCCTGTGCAGCTACAGTAACATTACAAAAATCCAGAATTAGAAAAATATAGGGAAATAATACATCAATGCGACAAGCAGATGAACTGACACAGAAATACCCTGGAAGAGGCTAGTCAGGACTGCTTGTTTAGCGGAGGGAGCCAAGATAGTATTGCTGTACACCTTCTCCAAGAGGGCGTTAGCTCTCTCAGCTCTTTGGTCTTCCACACCACTGTCAGTCGTGAAGGCCAAACTCAGTGTGTCAGAGGCGAGTCTCTATGTTCTTTTCTGATTGTACCAAATACAGCAGCGCAGATCAACACAGATCACTCTGCCTTTTGCTTCAGACCACACAAGTTTTGTCCTCTTGTTCCCTCTTCGACAGAAAACACACACACACACACACACACACACACACACAGAGTTCCTAGCCGTGTTTCCTATTTGCATTCACCCACCAACCAATTACAAATCCATGAAGCTCCCACACCTGCTGTGGCCTGATCCCTCTGAGTGCTGTGCCTGAAGCTTTTAAGCTGAACTCGTGGCTAAATCCTACACCATGCTTGCTAATAACAATACTAATAAACACTCTGCTTTCATATTGCTGCTTATGATCTCCAAACAGTGGGTGTCATGTTGAAGACCTGCAATTTTCACCAAGGATCGCGGAGGGAACCTGCAGCTAAGTGCTTCACTGCATGCCGTGAATGGTCCTTAAGCCCCTGCCTTGAAGACTAATCCTTTCCTTGCCCTCCTCCTTTTTATGAATGTTCTAAGGGAAGCAGAGACAATCTGCAGTTAGCACTCTGCACTGAATGGCCACGCCAGG